TTTTCACTTTAGTTCTGAAGGAGCGCTCCCTCCTTTTTTCCTCGATGCGCCCCCTGCAGGGTTAAAAGCTTTGTGAAAGGATTTCTGATATATCCCCAGAAATATCTTGAACCTTTTTCATTCGAGTAATGTCGTTCAACGGAATAATAGGGAAGGAGCAGTGGACAGTCGGTTGAGAGATCAAGAAATAAAAGGAAAGGAGGACAATATCGAGTTTGGGGGATCAATGGAGAAATGGGATGAAGTGAAGTGGAAGGAATGGCCAAAATGACTATCGCATCAATATTAGGTTGAGGAACTAATTATGTCGCTTGATAAATAAAAGAAACTGATGGAAATATGGAGTTCCCGGGGGTTAATGGAGAAATGGGATGAAGTGAAGTGGAAGGAACGGTCAAAATGGCTATCGTATCAATATTAGGTCGAGGAACTAATTATGTTGCATCATATGATGATCGATTTACTACACGATTTGTGTCTGATTAACAACAGAATGCGGAGTGAAGAAATGTTGAAGTTGGATCGTCAAATATTTTAAATGCATTACGATTGAGGAAAATTTGGTCACAACACGATAAAATTATATCAATGCAGCCATTGAATGGAATGATCTATGAAAGGGGCAGTGTTCAATCGCTTGAGAGGTCGATAAATATAAAAAATGAGGGATATATGGACTTTCCGGGGATCAATAGAGAAATGGGTGGAAGTGAAGTGCAAAGAATGGTCAAAATGACTATCATGTCAGTCATTGGTTGGTGAATTAATTATATTGTATTGTATAATGACCATTGCACTACAAGATTCGTATCTGATGAAAAACAGAATGCGAAGTGAAGAAATGTTGAAGTTCGGTCGTCAAATATTTTAGATACATTGAAAATGATAAAAGTTCCGTCCCAACACTTGGCTTTCATGAAGAAGAAATATCAATGCAGTCATTGAATGGAATGATATGGAAGAGTCAGTGTTCACTCGCTCGTGAGATCGATAAATAGAAAAAAATGACGGAAATATGGAGCTTCTGAGGATCAATAGAGAATTGGGATGAGGTGAAGTAAAAAGAATGGTCAAAATGGCTGTCGTATCAATCATCAGTAATTATAATTTGGAAACTATGATTATGTTGTATCGTATGATAAACATTTTATTCCGAGTGTGAGGGACAAGGTGGAACGTTTCGTTATCTTCTCCGATTACCAATATCTTCGTTCATAAATAGAAATATTGGAATTTGAGGAAGACCACACAATGCTACACTGTGCCCCGCCACCCCCTAGGAATGTTGAAGTTGGATCGTCAAATACTGTGGATGCCATCGAATTGAGAGTAATTTAGTCACAACGCTTGACGCTTATGGAAAAATAACATCAATGAAGTGGTTGAACCGAATGATATAAATGGAACAGTGTTCAGTCGCTCGAGAGATTAAGAAATAGAAGAAAATGACAGAAATATCGAGTATGTAGAGGGATCAATGGAGATCTGCGATGAAGAGGAGTGGAAGGACAATCACAACTATCGAGTTTGCGGATATCAATAGAGAGATGAGACAAAGTGAAGTAGAAAGACTGGTCAAAATAACCATCATTTTGATCATCAGAAAATTTAGGATTCTTTTATGGAATCATTTATCGTATCGATAAATTTTGATACAAAATGTGAAGTGAAGAAATGTTGAAATTAATTGTAAAAATATTTTTGTTTCATCCCAATACTTGCCTCTGATCAGAATAATTGTTATTGTGAAGGCATTTCGAGAAGCCCATTCCATCAACCCTCCGTGGGATTCCGCAATGTAACCGATATGACTCAATTCCAAGAATTTTTTGTGTCCTCAATAGGCCTGTAATTACGTCGAATTAATCAAATTGCACAGGGCAAGTGTATGCAATGCTGGCTATGCAGATGATTCCAACAGAAGACCGACCACACAGACAGTCGAGCAAGCATTGATTACAATTCCAACTATCCGATGAAAGGACAGAGGAGAGGGGGGAAGGAGTGAGGAAACTGTGCAGCTTCCTTTCAATTCAGCAACGCCTCTGGACGTTACTCAGAATTTTGGCGCCCGCCAGATCGCTCACATAAATAGCAAGACAGTTAAGTTGGACTGCGATAATGTATGCATCGTGGAGAGGGTGGATTTTGCAGTGGCGCGATATGACACAGGAATGCTAAAGGTGATGCATGACCCCTTGAGGCAGGCGAAGGACAATATTTCACATGACAGAATGCCTTTTTCAGGTTTGGACTGCGATTTTTGCAATCCTGATTCCAAAACTTCTAGAAGAATCCATCAGCGTAGATATGAACATTTATTCGTTTTAAGACGGCTCTAAGAACATTAAACTTCAACTAAAGTGCAGCGTCTTTTAATGAATGAAAATGGTCTACCCTTAACTTGGAAGAACATAATGTAGTAGATCCTTGAAACTAAGGTCTCCCGATGACTCCCTGACCTTAACACCGGCTAACACTTTCTTAAGACCTTTCAACCACCCGCAATAAAATCCCCTTGGATCTGCAATTTGATAATCCTCGCCGAAATAATCTCCTTGATCGAAGATTCTGATAAATTCCGAAGTTGCAAGCTTCAAACTTCCATTCTAGACCCATTATACATTCTCCCTTTTAGGTGGTGTTATCGGAGAGTCAAGAGTATGACTTTCTTGGATAGAAGTTACTCAGGAGGAGACTTCTCCAGTCTTTTGGTATTTGTGCTAGATGTTATGTAATTCTTGGAAAATTCGATGATCTGAGAATTCTGGCCCCCGTCAGATCAAGAAACGTCGTGTATTGACAATAAGATAAGTAAAAAATTATTATTCTCTCCAATACCCCATGAACTTGAATCCCGGATAATAATTATGGAGATGAATGGTTTCATTGATAGAAAACAAATGACAACCATCTCACTCCTCACCGCCCCACACGATCGGAATCTGCCTCCAGAGGAAAATCTCTCTACCTTTTCGATGCTTTCCCCATAATTAAGTTAGACGTCACGTATTTCTTGGAAAATTGATAGATCAATCGATCAAACAATTTCAATCCGCCGGAGCGGATTCCGCAACTGGATCCGTCAACTGAATTTCGGAGGCCGCGGGGTATTTAATCGTCGATACCATGACCTTGCATTCATGGTATGGTTCATTCTGTCACCACTGAAGGTTACCCCCAGCGTCAACGCGCAATCAGCATTGCGTTGGCCTTTCCCGCTTATGCAATCACGCTCCATTGTGTTGCACGTAAACCTCAACCATTCTGCGTCGAGTCGTCTCATTCGTATGCAAATATCGTTGGGCATCGCCGGAGAATACCCCACCTCGTCGTCCCCTTAGAATGGACAAGCGATTCGCATAACCATCAGCCAACAATCCCCATGAGCCAATGGTGTTTTTTTTTCGTGGTTGCAACCTCATTCTACATCTCTTGCATTTTGCAACATGAATTAGCGGGGGAAGGAATTTAAATCAGGCGCGAGTCGGAGTTTGGTCTATCAAACTGTGCTCAGAATAAAGAACTCCTGGTTGCTCTAAGCAGTGGATATAACTGGCCCAATCAGAATGTCCGACTTGTTGTGAGTAGAAGATTGCATTATTTTGAAGTAAAAACGTTTCAAGTAGTCGCCTACTTGGATGAAGTAGAAACCAATGAATCTATTCACTCCGAAAAATCCATCTGTTTCAGGTAGGATGGAACGACTTCATTCAAGTTGGAAAATGTTTGATTCAAGTACACGAGTACTTTATTCAAGTCAATTTGGTACTTAATTCTAGTTACGGAGATACTTGATTTCAAAAATCCAAGTTCGCGTGATCCAAGTGCATCAAAGAAACTGCTCTTTTATAAGACTCAAGTAAGCTCCCGACCTGAATCAAGTGTCAATGCGAATTTAACAAATTCGTAGAATCAACTTGAATCACGCCGCTATATCGGTTTGCACACTTTTTTGGAAAACTTGTAGCGATCGCTAGCAGATCTCTAGTCGTTACTTACTTGATTCAAGTAGAAACTACTCGAAAAAATGCTCGGAAAATGCTTGATTCAATCAGACAAGTACTTGATTCAAGTCAAATTGATACTTAATTAAAATTGCGGAGATTCTTGATTTGTAAAATCTAAGTTCTCATGATCCAAGTACATCAAAGAAACTGCTCTTTTATAAAAAATCAAGTAACCTCCAGGCCTGAATCAAATATCGATTCGACTTTGACTAATTTGCAGAATTAACTTGAATCAAGTCGATCTCCAACAGGTCTTACGTCTTCGCCTACTTGACTCAAGTAGAAACTAATGGATTTATTCATCGCAAAAAATCTACTTGTTTCAGATAGTACGTGACGACTTCATTTAAGTCGAGGAGATATTCGATTTCGAAAATCCAAGGACTCATGACACAAATACACTAAAGAAACTGCTCGTTTATAACAGTCAAGTATCCCTCGACTTGAATCAAGTATCAATTCGAGTTGAATCATTTTGCAGAATCTACTTTAATTAAGTCACATCCAGTTTGCACACTTTTGAGGAAGACTTCAATCAAGCCTTCAATGATGGCATTAAGTAAGTCAATCTCTAATAGGTCTCAAGTCCTCGCCTACTTGATTCAAGTAGAAATTAATGGATTTTTTCATACCGAAAAATCTACTTGCTTCAGACAGTACGTAGCGACTTGATTCAAGTCGAAGAGATATTTGATTACGAAAATCCAAGGTCTAAAGAAACTACTCTTTTATAACAGTCAAGTATCCCTCGACTTAAATCAAGTATCAATTCGACTTGAATCTCTTTGCAGAATCTACTTGAATTAAGTCACATCAGTTTGCACATTTTTAAGTGAGACTCCATTCACACTCATAACAATCAAACATCAGTCGATTCTCGATGTGATTTATTCCTATCCCTATCAAGTCGAATTCGTCAACTTAATTCACGATTTTTTTTAACCTAAAATCTCGACTTAAAATACGAATACCTCAGACGAGGGTACTCACCTTCTGATAATTGGACGCAAACAGCATATACTTTCCATCTGGCGACAACTGATGGTCAAAGCTCGAGCGGAGTGCCTGAAAATTAGGTGAAAAAAACTAATTACTACGAGTGTAAATTGTGCGGTTCAACTTCATTTCGAAAATGGAAAAAACCACTAGCAAGAATAAACTGTAATTTTTTACCCGTACTCCCATTGAAATCGTTTTTAGCGTGAAAAGTTGATGAAAAAAGGTGCTCGTGATGAAAAAAAAAACTATTGGAAAAAATAATCCCATTACATTTTCTTGCTGTAGGTTTTTTCCCTCGCTAATTAAGGCAAAATCGACTACTCTCTCCAGTCTGGCTCTCGGCTGTGGAGTTCGATTAATTCGATTCTCCTCGACATTCACCCTCTCTCGTGTTAGCGTCTAACCCCTCCCCCTGCATATTCCCCATCCCACCGATCTACGACTCTCGCACCATTGCGCTGAGCTTTTTATTAGCACACCTTGTTCCATGGATGATTTCCCCAGTTTCCATACACTGACGTATCCGAAATTTGTGTATGTGCGCACATGCCCCGGGGTCATGTCGGTCGTTTCGGTTCGTCCACGGAGAAATTAACGTTCGCGGCTTGCCTTGCGGCACTAATTAGCCCACCACCGTACGGCATCTCGTGGAATGAATCTCGAGTTATTTATCGATCAAATGAAGTTTGACGGAAGGTGACGCCGTACTGAGGTGGCCTGTCGTGGTTTATGTATTTGAACATTATCGGAATATTTTGCTGATGTGCGGGGGGAGAAATGTGGGAGGATGGAGATATCTTGAGCAAATAATTTCTGTAATTCTTTCCTACAATGCATTTGTGACTTTAATTCAATCAAGTACTTTAATTGTTGGCAACTATTTTCAATTTATTAATTCACAAAACTAAATGAATGACGCAGTTAAGAATATCCAAGTTCTTCGTTCAAAGTATATAAATACCTAACTGCATTAACCTTTGTAAAGATAATCCTAACTAGGTTATCATTTTTTGGAGTGAGTCATGTTGTTGACTTCGGCCGTTTGATTTTGGAAATAAAATAAATGAATTAAAAAAGTAATAAACAAAATAAGGAATTGAGTTCAAACAAGATATCGGTTTGACCAAAATTTCGTCAGCCGACTTTTGAGAATTTTTCATTGTTGAATGATTTTTCTGTGGAATTCTTTCAATAAATTTTGACAACAATATTTTGAGCAATTTCACACGTGACTCTCGTTGGTTTAACCTCTACACGGAGAGAATATAAAATTAAAAATTAGTATGTGAACGTAGTAATCGAAGATTATACCGGAAAAACTTAGAAATTTGAGTTATTTATTTTATGTCATTAGGCCCGATAAACCGCGATATAACCGAGCGAAGCGAGGTTAGAATCGCGGTTTTCGGGCCCAACGACATAAAATATCGTATGTCACACGTATCTCGCCTTCGGCTCGGATTATAAACCCACATTCGCCAGATAATGCTTTTATCGCCTTATGACATAAGATACTATTTCGTAACCGCTTTCTCGAAATTTTTTTCGAAAACTGAGATTGATATCGGGCATAAAAAATACTCTTGGTCTATTGTACAATCTCTGAAAGGGATTCCCCCCCCCCCCCCCCC